TGCGACGCTCGGCGTGGAGCCGCTCCCCACAGGGACCCTCAGCTCCCCCAGGCCGTCCTCAAGCAGAGCTGCTGGCACAGGCAGGAGAGACCCAGGCTGCAGCAGCCACAACCCAAGAGCAGAAGCAGGTTTGGAATGACTGAGATCAAGTCCTTCAGCGCTTACTGCAGTCCCAACACACAGAAAGGGTTAAAGCCACCAGCCCGCCACTGATGCTCCATTGATAAATGAGACAAGGGAGCGGTTGAGGACAATGAGGATGGCCCAGCACATCAATCCCTCCCTTATGCAGGGTCTCTGAAAGGCAGGAAAACCCTGCGGGGACGGCACTGCCATGCCCAGATTTACTTCTGGGCCAGGCACAGTCTCCAGCTGGCACCATGACCATGGGTGCAGGGACCCCCACGGCACACCCAGGAACCCCCACGGCACACCCAAACACGCCAGTGCCGATACCTGCACCGACGGCTTCTTCTCGGTCTTCCCGACGGAGCGAGACCCTCGCTTCTTCAGGGAATTCTGCAGAGAGAAGAGAGTCGCTACCTGCAGCAATGGCACAGCCCCCCAGCACAGACAGGCAGACCCGGTGCAGATGGACACCAACACCAACTTCTGCAGCCCAGGAGAAACGCCAGAGCCACAGCAGGCAGAGGCCCCTTGCCTTGGGGGACTGGCAGGCATTGTATCATGGGGTATGGCCAGAGATTTCCCTTGCAGGCAAGCGAGCTGTGAGCGAGCAGGAAACCAGCCGTGGAGAGGCTGAGTCATGGTCCTGTCACAGCTGGATGGAGCACGGGGATCCAACCCCCAAGCCAAGGGATGGCTCTCAGGGCATCCCAGTGTGGGAGAAGCAGAGGATGACGTTCCCCATTGCCTCTTCCCCAAGGAAGGAACACGTCCTGGTCGCTCAGCTATGGGGAGGGGATGATGCTGACTCTGCCCTCAGGGTCTCTGACGCAAGGGACAATCTCCAGACTAGTGAGGACAGCTGGGAAGCAGGAAGGACAAATGGAGCAATAAGGGACACTGGAAGGGGGGGAAAAAAGTGGGTGCCCAGGGTAGGACCTCACACAGATCTGGGGAGGGGAGCTGGAGGAAAACCATCACAAACATCCCTGCAGCCCCCCATGAGCACTGGCCGATCCACACAGCCGTCCCGGACCTATTTCCAAGCTGGTGCTGAGGCCCAGCAGCCAAAGAAAGCAGCTGTGAAACGTAAGCTGCTGCCTGTGCCAAGGTGCCGGGCTCCAGGCTTTCCTATTAAGGCCACAACCATCACTGGAGCTGCTGCTGCAGCAGAGCCTCTCCCCAGGGCTGGCTGTGCCACGTCGGCATCCCTTACCCCTACTGCGCTGGGGACTGGGGCTGGCAAGGGCCATCACCCGGCCTGGAGCAACCCCAGGCACAGTACCCCAGGTCAGACACGGGCTGGCATTGCTCTGCTTTGGATGCATCCCATGGGGTGGCTGTGCCTTAGGGCCCCATGCAGCTGAGCTTGACGTGGCAGGCTTGGCACAGGGTACCTGGTCTGGTCCCACTTTCCTCCTGCCCCCCAGGAGATGCTGAGATGGGCTAGAGCTGGAGTGGCAAATGCAAGCGCCTTTAGGGATGATCTGCCCATCCTGATAATTATCCAATTATGGGAGAAACCTCTTGGAAGGGAAAAATAATCAGCCCTGAGGGGTGAGCCCAGCCCTGTGCAGCCTCCACTCCACCCTGGCTTGGCTGCTAACGAGCTCTGCCACACTTTGCACCCTCCAGCAGGAAGGAGGAGGCGGAGGAGGGTTGTTAACTCACTCATTTGTCTAATTAGCGCTCTGCAATCAGTGAGTAACCCCAATGCTCTTGCTAGCCTGGGGACACACCATCCCCAGGCTCAGGGAGCTGTGCCGGTCTTGTGCCAGCCGGCAGCATCCTCTTTGGGCTCACGCAGTTGTGGAGGGGCCGTATCCTGTCCCACATGCTTTTGCCAGGGCATGGCAGCAGCTGGCACTCAGGTCTCCCTGCGCACTGACCATGCAACCACTTTCTCTGCCTGTTTTTCAAGCGTGAGAGCTCAGCTCCTGCTGCTGCCATTTGTTATTCAGCCCGTGCTGGCTGGCTGCAGGGACGCCCATTTCACGCCTGTTAGGGAAGGCTGTGCAGTGGAGGGACAAGACACCCCACCTGGGGTGACGCTGCTCCATGCCACCCCACAAGAAGGTGGCTCCAGAGGGGATGGGTGCAACCGTGGCCGGGTCCTGTGGCTGGCCAGCAGCTGGCCCTGGTGTTAACCGGAGCTGGCCTCGGAGATGCCAAGCCATGCGCTAGCTCCCCGCCCTGCTGCGCAGGGGAGCACAGCTGGGGGCAGTGCGAGCTCTCCCTGCGTCGTGTCCCCGTCGGGAGCAGGGCCCGTGCTCTGCCACGGCATGTCTCCTCCCACACACTGCCCTGATAGCTCAGCCAGCAGTGCTTCCCGAGACTCCCCAGGGACCACAGGCATCCCGGGCAGTAGGGAAGTGGGTTACAAGTGCTGTGGTGGATCATGCTGTCACTGGGATGCCTTTCCTGTCAATGAGGATGACATCGCTCCTGGCTGGGAGCTGGTGCCAAACGTGGCACGGAGCGCCCTGCAGCTGTGTGCATGGGTACATGTGTGGCACATGGCTTCCCAGGACACAGATGGGATCATGCACCCACCCAGCTCCGCAGCACTGCCGGGACATCGCTGCCATAGAGCCCTGCGGCTCAGCCCGATCTGAACCAGCAGCATGCAGTCAGGATACGGCCAGCACCAGTCACTGTGCCAGGGCCACGACAGACTCCACATCATGCAGAGCTTTGGCCAGTGGGAGCTGGGCACGGCCCAGGTGGCCAGGCTGAGCAAATGGCTGAGGGCACATAAAGTGGCGCTAGTGCAGGGGGGAAGTCCTGTAGCCCCCCCGGGATGAAAGCCATCCCGTGCCGGGAGGGTGGGGTGAAGCATGCCGTGCAGAGGGCCGGTGCTGCTCGGGTTTCACAAGCATCTGCAGCACGGTTTGGGTTTCAGCGATGTGAGCAGGGACGGGGGACCCCACAGTGCAAGGCCAGGGCACATTCTATGGGCAGAACCTTAGGGATGCCTCCCAGTCCGCCCTCCCGTATCTCCCTCACCTCTCGGAGCTTGTCCATCTCATTCTGCACCACCTGCTTGGCCAGCTCCGTCTCAATGAGCCGCTGGCGCAGGTCCTCGTTCTCCTCCTCCAGCCTGATCCTTTTCTTCTCCACTGCCTCCAGCTCGTTGTGGAGCCGCACAGAGACATCCTTGGCAACCTGGGCACACAACAGGGCTGTCATCAGGCTGGGTGCAGCGTGCGTGGGGCTGCGACCACAGCGCCTGGGCACCTACAGTCCTCATGCAGAAATCGCCAAGCTGTTACCAAGATCCTTCAGAGCAGAAACTGTGCCGGGTGACACCCTGGCCCCTGTGTGTCCCCCATCAATCACATGCTGTGACCACTGTACCCCTTCACCAGCTGCAAGGCTACCTCACATCCCACCCCCTGGCCAAACCCTGCCCTCCCCAGTCCTAACATGATGCTGCGGGATTCTCATCACCTTTTTGTACTTTTTTCCCCATACCATGAGCCTGGAAAAGCCCCCACAAGGCTGGGAAAGCCATCGGGCAGCACCAGAGCAGGCAGCCTCTCACTGCGGGCAGCAGCTGCGCTGGCTTGGAGAAAGGCGAGCTGCTGCATCGCGTTATGGAAAAAAAAAAGACCAGCTGCCCTCTGGGTGAAGGGTGCCTTTGTCCATCCCGGCCCGGAGCACCCCTCTCCGGATCCCTGCAAGGGGGCAGCACTCAGCATACAGGGAGCTTAACAGCATGAAGCACTCCCTCCGGCAACTGCAGGAAGGGAAAAATTGGCCCCAGTCCGCCTGGTCCCCTGCCCAGCCCGGGGTATCCGCACTGCAGAGGCAGCAGTGAGCCCCACTGCAGGGCTGGGAGGGTTGATGGCCATGGGGTTGGGCTCCCATTCCCCCAAGCACTCCAAGCTGGGGGCTACTGGGTGGTTTGGGGAGGGGAGCAGGCCCCTAGAAGAGATGGGTGGCATAAGGCAGGTTCACAGCCCCACACTTGTGGCATGTCTCAGCTCCAGGACTGGCTGTTTTCTGCTAAGAAAACTAAGTTACTCATCGAGCTGCTGCCCATCACCCTGAGCCGACTCCAGCTGCCACAGCATCCCACTCCTGGCAGCTGCCGTGTCGGCAAGAGCCCTCAGCAAACACTCACTGGCACCAGCAGCTCCTTGAGGGCCAGAGGCTGGCAAGGATAAGGCAATGTCATCCTGCAGAAATCCCCTTTCTCTGCCCCAGCCCATGTGCTGCAATGCCCAGGGCTCTGCAAGGTTTCCCCGAGGGCCAAGAGGAGCAGCTCCCCAGGGTCCTGGTCCCCTCCCTGCGCGCTTGTGCTGCTACAGTCCCTGGTGGTGGCCTCATCCCATCCCCACTGGTGCAGGATAAGGGAGCTCGACCCCAGGGCACATGGCCAGGCTAGGCTCCAGCCTGCACAGGATGAACTTCGCATATGGCACTACAAGACCCCCATCCTTGGACCTGGGGACTGTTTGGATGGGGACATCGCCCTCACAGCCTCACCTTGACGTCCTGCTCGAGGCTGTGGATGAGCTCACCATCCACCTGGCCCGTCTGGGCCACGCGCAGGCTGCGGCGCTCAGCCTTGCGCGATGCGGCAGGTCTTGCTGGCCTGATCCAGCTGCTGCCGGAGCTCCTGCAGCTGGTAGACATCCTCCTCCATGTAGACATCCCTCATCTCCAGCATCTCGGCACGCAGCTCCTCGATCTCATCCTGTGGGGGAGATGCACATTAGAGGGGATGGACCCCACGGCTTGGTCTCCTCTGTTTTTCCCCTGGGATACCTTCCCACCATGGCTCCCCTGCCCCCCTCCATCCCACGAGCTGTTTTCGCAGACCTTCAAGCCCTTGGGTCAAGCCCCATCCTTGCAGAAGGGCACAGAGCCAGCTCAGCATCATCACCCCACTGGTGAGCACAACTGAAACAGGCGCCTATAAATATTTGCAGTAGAAGAAAGAGGAAGGTGGGGGAGGGAGAGGAGCTGCAGGAGCAGCACAGGCGGCAGCCGCGGCGAGAAAAATGTAGGTCGTCTTTGGAAAAGATGTGTCAGGGAGGCAGGCGAGGGAAGGAGGAGACGGCAGGCGAGGACAGGGGAGGCAACACGGGGACATGAGCAAGATACCATCAGGGCTGGGGACCAGAGGTTGCCCCTCATTTTGCCACCATGCAGCAACCAGTGGACTGGATCCGCCTTCCACCACCTTCCTGGTCTCATCAGCTCTCGTGGTGACAAACCTCTCTCAGCCCAGCAAAGCCTCCAGCGTGGGGCCGCGGAGTCGCTGTCACAGCAGGGCCAGGGGTGACATCCTGCTGGCACCAGTGCCAACCCAAAGCCTCCTCCAGGTCTGCAGCACACGACTGTCATGCGTCCCCCTGCAACAGCCACAGCCCCAGTGACACCTCCCGGTCCAGCACAGAGCTATGGCCACCAGGAATGCTCAAGGACTATCCTCTCCGGTCCCTGGGGACGCACACAGGCTGCACTGCCCAAAGCTCCTCACGTCCCCCTGAGCACAGTCTCAACCCAAATCTTCCATGCAAACGCTCCAGCCATTGCACCAGCTGTTCTCCTCGATAAGACTCAGTGGATCCGACACACTACTGGGAGGGGATCGAGCATCTGCTTTCCAAAAAGCCCCGCCACCGAACACCTCCCATGGCTTCCAAAGCAATTGCCACTTGAGCCATGAGGGGTTCAAGCTGCTGCCTTGCACCGGGGCACAGCACGGGAAGGGACAAGATGAGGACCCGGCATGAACACTGGAGATGCACATCCCTGATTCACCCCAGGCAGAGGGGACAGGACCCTGTGCTCCTGACACTGCCCGTGACAGTGACATGCAGCCTGGGACAGCAGCACCACGCCAGCTCTGCCTGGCGCTGGCACGCTCGCCACCACGTTCACCCGGCCCGGACAAAGCCCCAGCTGCAAGAATTCCCCAGCAAAGCGAAGCTGAGCCCGAGGAGGGGGGTGGCAGCTGCAGGACGTCACAGTTGCTCACTGTTGGCTTTAAACACTACGCGACAAATAAGGAACACCAATTAGACAATCCCGGATTATCTCCCATCCCAGGCTGCCAGTGCCTGGTGGCACCACAGCCACCAGCATCCTGCTGCCCTCCACCACTCTGCTTCTTGCCGGGGGGCTTTGAGCACAAGAGCAGGGCAGAAACAGCCCCAAGGCACCGAGACGGGCAGTGCAGCGTCCCAGGGACAGCCAGAGTCTGTCCCATGAAGGCGCATCACTGCAAGCATGTTTCACAAACAACCCCTGGACAGCTCAGACATGAAACCCACCAGGGACAAACGGCACATGCGGGCAGACAGCCCTGCAACAGTGATGAACCCAACGGAAACTCACAGCCAGCACTGCCCACCCCACATGGCAGTGCCACGGCCCTCAGGATAACAGCAAAACCCCTGTAAGCCAAACCAGCCTGGAGAGACAGTTAATGGGATCTACTCCTTGGGAGCTTTCATGGGAAAAAATGCATTGTGCATGGTAGGCGAGCAGACGCTCTGCAACGGGGTGCTGGAAAACAGCCTTGTGTGAATGGTGGCTTGAATACGATCGCCGAAGGCACGGGGGGCTGCCTGCACCCCGCTCCAGTGCTGACCATACCTGCTCCCGTTTGCCATGCGGCTTTCCCAGGCAGCAGCGGAGCAGGGCAGGGAGCAAGGCCCTTGGCAAAAACCCAACCAAACCTTACATTTGCTGGAAGGAAGCCTGGGCTTGCCATGCTAAGAGCTCCTGCTTGTTTATAGCTCGGGTTGTAGCAACCGTTACTTTAGGGGGAGGCAAAGCCCGGCAGCACAGCCCAGAGCTGCCTCTTCGCAGGGTGCTCCCCCCGGGAATGGGGCTGGGGGGGCTGGGAAAGCGGCCTTTGCTTTGCTCCCTTTGCTCTAGCTGCAGGAATTCGCCCGCACCCCATAACACCAATAAACCCTGCCAGTGGTTGCAGCCCGGCAGCTGCAGAGCCCGCCCTGAGCTTGTCTCGAAGACAAGCCGTGCTGCTAAACCATAGTAACTGGATTACATCGGAGAGCAAAAACATGCCAGCAAACATGGGAAGAGAGCTTAGGACGGCAAAGCTGAGCTCCTCCACGGCTGGGCTGCAGTGGGCAGAAGAGCCCGAGGGTGTCTGGAGGCAGCACATGAGGGCACAGAAGTTGCACAGAGGACCCCGACAGCTTCGGGGACAGCTGCTGAGCCTCACCCTTTGCATCTGCACCCTCTCTGGAGTCAATGCCCATCTTTGCAAATTCAAAGCAAAAAGATCCAGTTAGATAAAGGTGAGAGCAAAGCCAGAAGCAGAGGGAAACACCCTAGAAACATCCCAAAATCAGGGCTGGCTTGTGAGCGTGAAGCACTGTAAACTATGCTAAATGAAGTCTGAAAGATGAGGTGGGCAACACTGAGGATGAGATAAATTACTTCTTTCCAACTCGACCGCACCCGCGGGCTGCTCACCACCCCCATCCTCTGGCATTACCTGCTCCTCCACTGCTCCATCCCTGCAGCCTCAAAGGTCCCTTTATTGTTTTTATGCCAGAAGTCAGCTGTCTTGGAAAAGATGCTGGGGATGTGCAGTCCAGGGAGACTTGTTTCAATGCCCAAAGGACTGCAGAAGCAACCACCTCACCTGTGTTTGCAGGAGCCAGGCTATGCCTGATGGATGGACCCAAGAGACAACATGCACCTTCAACCTCTTCCCAGCAAACCTCGGAGATGTCATCTCTCCCTGGGAAGACTATTAAGGAAACTAAGAAGTGGCAAGGTGGGATACAAACCGCCTGGTTCTGGTTCAGAAAAACCCCATGCATTTTCAGAGCAAGAGAAGGTGACAGCTACAGCCCTGTCCATACACCCGCCTGCAGGGCATCAGCTCCTCCAGGAAGGGCAAGACCTGAAGGGGCTGAGCCCCAAAAGGTGGCACGGCAGGAGGGGGGCCAGTGGAGATGGCAGAGCACACCTCAAAATGCAGATCAGCCCCATCATGGGTTGTGGCAGAAGAGTTAAACCCTTGGATCTCCTGCCCAAGGGGAATTACACGCTGGCTTAGGCGCCTGCAAGAACGCAGCAAGCTCAGACCAGACCACGGGACTCGCGCTGTGCGACTCTCACAGCTCATCAGCAGGATCCACTATCTTTTAGAAGCAGAAAGCAGCAACGGATACAAAACAGGATCATGCAAATAAGGACATGGCTGGCTGTCAGTGCTGCTGATGGCACATACACCCTCAGCTTCGGCAGCCCCAGGCTCTGGGGCGCAGCCAAGCAGCAGCCGCCTGCTCGCGGGGTACAGGCAGCCCTCCAGGGAGCACAGCCCTCTGCCCGCACCCCCAAACCTCAGCACAAGATGCAGAGGAGAAGGAGTGGCAGTCGCCTGTATGTTTTGCATCAACACCGCACTGGCAGTGGGTGCATCCACGGGAGTCCGCGATCCCCCGTGCACGGATGGAGATTACTGTCCAGGAGCAACAAGCACCGCTTCCTGCGAGATTACAGGACAAAAACAGCAGCTTTCAATTAACTCTGAGCCCCCGCCAGACAGAAGAGGAAATTATGCTAGAATTTGCTAGGGGAAAAAATTAAATCAGAGGGGATTTCTAAGGGAAATTGCCTGCAGTGCCCAGGCATGTCCCTTGCCAGCGCCGTGGTCCCAGCAAACGCAGCTTACACCAAGCCCTCGCTGGGGTGCAGTGGGGCGAAGGGTGGGTAAGGGACACGTGTCACACACAGAATCACAGCATGGTTTGGGTTGGAAGGGACCTTAAAGATCATCTAGTTCCAACCCCCCTGCCACAGGCAGGGGCACCTTCCACTAGACCAGGTTGCTCAAAGCCTCATCCAGCCTGGCCTTGAACACTTCCCGGGC